GGGCGGCTCCTTGGCCGAGAGCGCGGGTTTGGGGGAGGGCGCGCGGTCGCAGACGCAGCCCTCCAGCAGGTAGAGCCCCGAGGGCCTGGTGCTCGAGTCGCTCTCGAAGTAGAAGAGCAGGTTGTGCAGCAGCGCGAACCACTTGGTTTGCCATTTTGTGTTGTCCGCGCTCCGCTTGCTCAGGTAGCCCTTGCGTGTGCCGTCCTGGCGCGCCAGCAGCCCCAGGGACGCGACGTGGCCATCGTTCAGCCGGATCCCCTTCTGCATGGTGCTCGGAGGCCAGCCGGACCCCACACGCTCACATCTTCCCCGCGCAGCCCCTCGTCCGTGCCCGCAGCGCGCTGCCTCTCCCCGGCGCTCGCTCGCCGGCTCGCTGGCTCCTTCTCACGCTCCCCTCCCCCCCAAATGTCTACACTCCGGGATCTGGCACCGAGCCACGGCCTCTGCAATCCAGAGGTACCATTCCGCCCCACACTGGCGCCTCCTCCCTCTCCGGGACACGCTCGCACCAACGCAAACCCTGCGCCCCCGCCCTCGGCCTCCCTTCCCCCCTCCGGGGGTTAAAAGCAGATCGGATCCATTTTCGTTAACCTCGCGGAGCCCCGAAGGCTTGCCATCCCAGAGTTTGCGTTCCCTTGACCCTTTTTGCAGGACGCAGTTGTCATTGTCCCCAAAGGCTCCCGCCTGTGTGTGTGTCCGGTCCCAGGTGGATGGAGGGAGGTGCATGCGAGGTGCATGTGAAAGTGTCTTCAGTGCCTGTCTTGGCGCGATCGGCCGGCCACCTCCCTGTCCGCATCCAGCCCGCTCCCGTGGCTTCCCAGCGGCATGAGGACAGTACAGGGGCGAGGTGCGGAGGGGGAGGGGCGCGGGCCTTTATTTGGGGTGTTGCCACGATTACCGGCGCACCCCAGCGCCCCGGGGTCTGGCTGGCTCTGGCTGCCGGAGTTTTCTGCAAATACCCCCCAGAGCCCGAGGGCGGGCTTCACTCCGGCGCTGGGGACCATGGGAGCCTTCAAATAGCTGCGCTGGCGCAGTGATACCTTAATGATAGATTTTCCGCTCTTATTTTTAGCTCTCACTCGCCTACACAGTTACAAGGCGTTTATGCGAGAACGTCATGGCGCGCGTGCTGCACCGGGAGGGCTGCCGGCTGGTGGGGGGGCCGGAGCGGGGGGATGGCCTGTCGCAGCCGGGGAGGGAAAGACACCATCTTTCAGAACCGAACCTGAGGCGGCGCGCGCACGCGATCACATGCACACGCGCAAATGCGCACACGCGCACATATAGACACACACACGTCTCGCGTGCCACCGGCCACCGAGAGACCCACCATAGAGGACTTTTAGGGGCCCCGTTCTGGGCACGATGGCGCAGGCCTCGATTCCCCGGGGGCGGGCGTGGAACACTCTTGGGGAGCTAATGACCCTGTGACCTCGGTCTTTCCTCGGGGCGTAAGGACCCGTGGGGCTGGTCTTCCTTCCAGCATCTGGTTGATGGGCAGGGAGTTGAGAGCAGAATCCCCCGTGAACGGTAGGTACCGAGTTCCTCTGTGAGGAGTAGCTGTTCCGAGCATGCGCGGTAGGCCCACAGCAGGTGAGGCGTTTGCGTTGGCCAGGCTGTGCTCCCAGCCCTGCCGCTGGGTTCCAGGGACCGCTCCTCCCCCGGCGCCCAGGCCCAGCTGGTCCTCCGCAGGCCAGAGCATCATCTCTCGTGGTCTCCCTACTCCCAGCCCTAACCTTTGCAGCGTCCCTGCTGTACACTCTTCTCGCACATCATGCGGTTCCATGTTCTCTTGGTTCCTGCTGCCCGCTCCCCATTCAGAGCTGGTTGGAAGAGTGAGATGCCGGAGGCTGCGGAGTCCAGGGCTGGCCGCAACCAGAATCCGGGCCTCGGGGGTCCTAGCGTGCCAGTCCTGCCTCTCCAGCATCCTCGCTCTCTGGTTGAAACGTGTTGCCTATGGAAGGCGAGGGGTGACTTCTAAATGTGGGAGAAGACGGAGAAGACGGCAAAGGCTCTTCACTGGGATCCAGCCCGCTGATCTGACCTGAATCATTGTATTCTTTCCCTTCTTACCTGTATTTTCTACTTTTTGTGATAAGACAGACAGGGACACGCACACAGACTTGGGAGAAATGCTTTCAGTCAAAAACTCCTGGTGCTTTAAAGAGTGAGACAGCTCACCAGCCATTCCGAGAGTGGGCCGATCCTGCTGGAACATTCTGGAGAGTTCTGGGATGTGCTGGGGGAGAGGCGACCCCAGTCACTGCACGAGGAGTCGTCGTTCACAGGCCCCATGTTCATTCTATGGGGTATGTTTGCTGCAGAGGCCAAAACAGCAGAGAGAGGCTTTTAGGAGATGGAACTCCGAGGAATTTAGAAGTGAACCTATTGTCATTAGTCTGGTTTTAATATTTTAAGTAAAAAAAAACACGTAAGTGCCCTAGCCAGTGTGGCTCAGTGGATAGAGCGTTGGCCTGTGGACTGAAGGGTCCCAGGTTTGATTCCCGGTCAGGGCACACGCCTGGGTTGTGGGCTGGTCCCCAGTAGGGGGCGTGCAGGAAGCAGCCGATCCATCAATAAAAATATTTTTTAAAAAGTGAGGGGATTTATATTTTTAAATAAATATATTTATATGTTTTTGTTGATCTTTAGAGAGAAAGGGAGAGGGATAGAGAGAGAGAAACATCAGTGATGAGAGAGGATCATCCATCAGCTGACACACTGGGGGTGGAGCCGGCAGCCCAGGCATGTGCCCTGACCAGGAATCGGACCAGTGACCTCTTGGCTCCTGGGTCAGTGTTCAGCCACTGAGCCACACCGGCCGGGTGAGGGGATCCCCTGTTATCAGTGACGGGAACAAGGTGGGTCGTCACGTAATAAATAACTTCCCAGGGTGCCCCGGCCTCCCAAACCTCACACACTGTGCATTCCTCGAACACAAGGCGGGAGGCGAGTTTTCTCACGAGAACGAGTCCCCAGGGCAGCTTCCGCTTCAGCTGTAGCCGGTGAATCCAAAAGACGCCGCCTCTCGCACCGATGCTCATGATTTATGGAGAGAATTACTTCCCCTCGTGACCCAAAGCAAACACGGGAGGCCGCAGGCTGGACACGCCGTCCCTGCGTGGTTTCCAGAAGACGGGCAGGGTACACCGGCTGTGGCTAATGAGCTGCTCTCCCTCAGGGCCGCCCTGCAGCCAGACCTCCCGGGGCCTGGCTCCCTCCGCTCGGGGCTGCCAGGGGCCTGATGGGCGGGGGCCCTGCCACTAGTGGACAGGGTTATGGCTGCAGCGAGCTTTTAAAAATGTTTAGCCCTGGCCCAGTGGATAGAGCGTCAGCCTACGGACTGGAGGGTCCCGGGTCGATTCTGGTCAAGGGCATGTACCTTGGTTGCAGGCACATCCCCAGTGGGGGGGGGGGGGGGGGCAGGGGGCAGCTGTTCGATGTTTCTCTCTCATCGATGTTTCTAACTCTCTATCCCTCTCCCTTCCTCTCTGTAAAAATCAATAAAATATATTTAAAAAAATAAATTTTTAAAAATCTTCATTGGGGATATTTTTTGCAGTGATTTCCAGATAGAGTGGAAGGGGGAGGGGGAGAGAGACAGAGACCTCGATGGGTCGATTGGTTGCCTCCCGCACACGCCCCGACCTGCTTGGATCAAACCTGCAGCCGACATACTTGCCCTTGACTGGAAATCGAACCCTGGGCCCTTCTGTCCGAGGGGCGATGCTCTAACCACTGAGCAGCCGGCCAGGGCTGGGTAGAGCTTTTGTACAAGTTAATGAGAGGTGTCCCTAGGGGTGTACGTGGCTCTGTGCAGAGACCAAAGGCTGGGCAGATGGCGAGCTGGGCGGAGTCCCTCTAGGGTAAGGACATCTCTCCCAGGCCCTGGGGCAGACCCCCCACCCCTGGGGCGGATTCGGTCCCGTTCCAACCAGCACAGCCACCGGAGGGGTGGGGAGCATCCTGATGGACTTACTCACAGGGGCAGGTCACGGGTTAGCTCGCCTGCAGGGGGCGGTGTGGGAGGAGCCACAGAGCACGGGCTGAGGACCAGCAGCGACCCCTGCAGGGGTGTTGGTGAAGGGCACCCTCCGCAG